CAACACAACCCAAGAAATAAATTACATGAAAAACAACAACAACAATAAACACAATCATTCTAAAGTAATGAATGCATAAAGGAATAAATAAATAAATAAATACATAAATAAGCAAAGAAGATTAATAAAAAAAAAACACGACATCGTTACAGTGAACGGGAGCGCGCGAAAGACCTCTATATTACGGACGGCCAAAGAACGGACCACCTCCAACAGGGGTCAAGTGTCAAGTGTCAAGTGTCCTTTTCGTTCTTATCCTGGGCGAAACAGGGCTTATCGGATGGGGGATATGGGCAGAAAGAAGGAAGGAAGGATGGAAAGAACGCTAGAAAGAAAGAAGGAAGAAGGAAGGAAGGAAAGTCGGTCGGTAGGTAGTAGAAAGGAAGGAAGAAAGGGAGAAAAGAAGGGAGGAAGGAAAGAAGGAAGGAAGGGAGGGAGGGAGGGGGAGAGGGAGAGGGAGAGGGAGAGGGAGAGAGAGGAGAGACAGAGAGAGAGAGAGACAGAGAGAGACAGAGAGAGAGACAGGGAGAGAGAGAGAGAGACAGAGAGAGAGAGAGAGAGAGACAGAGACAGAGACAGACAGAGAGAGACAGAGACAGACAGAGACAGAGACAGAGACAGAGAGAGAGAGAGAGACCAAATTAACATCATGCCGAATACGAGAAACAAAAACAAAAAAACGACTAAAATTAGCCTATAGCTCTAAAATTCCTTAAGTACTCCTCATTTCTATGAAAAAAGGTGAGCATAACGAAAAACAACGCACTGTCTCACGAAGTACAAGAAGCTCAATAGTGGCATTCTATATAAAAAAAAAAAAAAAAAAAAAAACTGTAACCGGGGAAGAAGAAAAAGACGAATAAAGGGGGTGACCAAAGCAAAGGTGAAGAGTGAAGACAAAGAGCGAAAAGCCACGTACCTCCAACCCGCCCACCAACGCCTTGTAGTCCTCAAGATACAACTTGACGGCTGCCATATATACAAGTCCGTCTTGCCTCTGAGTTCGACTAACAAAGGATTTTTTTGTCCTTTTTTTTTAGGTTCGTATCCCCTCCCGTTTCCGCCGCCAACAAGGAACTATTTATGTAGTTTTATGTCAAGAGCAGGTCCTCCCTTCCAACCAAGAGGAAACTGCAGGACGCCCAGCCACAGGAGACGGACGCCCGCGAGAGGTACCATGAGTTCTTCGTCCGAAATGAAAGAGTCTGATAACGCTATCTTCTACAAGCCACTTTGGCTACGAAGGCTTCCGCGCGAGAAAAGAAGCGCTCAATTTAATCCCGTTTTCTTGTTTTCTTCGAAGACGGTCAGTCAGCGCCTCCAGCACTGTCTCGATCGCACGTGTGAAGGGAGCATTTCGATTTCAAAATTACACTCGATCCCATGGCTATTCGGGCACCGCAGCTCCTCACCTCGAGTCCTGAACACTGTCAGAAGCGACGGCCGTTAGAGTAACAGCTGGCGTTTTACTGCAACACTAGTTCATGGTATCTGACGGGACACACGCAAGCCATGATTCACCCAGGACATCCGTAGGCCTTAATCAAGAATTTGGGGTGACGGATAATCACTCGAATTAGGTCTCATTCCCTAGGCCTACGTATGGAAGTATATGGAGTAGGAATCCACACATTCTCCCTCCTTTTTTGATATCACGAAACGGTAACATGTCCGTCAGTGTCTTTGTCACAATCATATCTGTAATTCCAAAACACGATATAAACAACAAAATGCTAATAAACGAAGAAATAATACACAAAAAGAAACAAAAGAAAACCCCACTATCTCCGCAACTCGATGCTTTTTGGTTGACGCATCATCACCACGTGACAACATAACATAACGCACGCTTTGTTTACAAAAAGGTAAATCACTCGCCTAACAGAAAATACACATGCCATCTAATGTGTTCGCTTTGGGGCTGTATACATTCCATGCTTAAGAATCAACGGCACATATTTGCCTCAGAACGGGCGATACTTTCTTCTATGCAGCATCTACGGCTTGCCATAACGCAATCTCACTTGATTCAATGCATTATTTAATGTCACTATTACATACGGGTGCTTTGAGTCATGCAACATAACATATTTCAACATTTGTAAATTAGAGCAAAGTCTATTTAGACTTCCTACCTACGATCAACATCTCTATTTAATCAAACTTTTAACGACAACACTACTCTTCAACCAACCGAAGACGCTACAGAATGGCCGCGCTACAGTACGGTGCAACTTTGCGAGAATCTGATGCCACCCAGCGCCACTTCTACGCCTACAGCCTGAGCGCCAGCCAACCTCGCAGCCGCATTCCTCTGGATCCCAAGAATCCGCATGCCGAAGGGCGCCTCCCTCCGCCGCTGCGACACACTACGCGAACAGCCAACGACAGGTTGACCCTCACTAGTCCGGCAAGCAGAGGAGCGGACACCAAAAATCATGTGCTACGATGTAAAAATAAAAATTATATATCTAAAAAAAAAAAAAATCATAGTCCCGAAGCACCAATACGGCCGGACCAGGGAATGCCGGACAAGTGAGGCTCGCCTGCACCTATCATCCATGACAAGCCAGGCCGGGATGCTGGAGTCCACGGTGGGTTCGCTCGAAGAGGCCGTGCGAATCCACTGGGAATCCCCATTGTCCATACTTCGAGCGATCAACTCGGCACACTAAGAAACTAAGAGAGTTGGAAAACTTCGTGCGTCCATCAGGGATGACTTCTTTTACAAATGTACGAGGATTTTTTGTTTTATGTAGTCTATCTCTCCAAGTATAGCGATAGTAGATCCGTGCCAGGAAAACAACAATGAAAAAGATGAGATACCCCAATATGGACACACTATTTTTTCAGGTTCGCTCCAACAACTAGCGAAAGAGAAAACACCATCGCGACGCGCGTTGTGCACGGTGAGCCTCGAGGACTGTACAGCATCTTGCCGAAGGGCGTGCCCTCCGCCGCGTGCACAAGACCGCGTCACCGAGGCTGATTAAGGGCCAAAGGAATCCGTGAACGGGACGACTGGATAACTCAGAAAACTATTTTTAATGCGATGCACAAGGTATCTGCTCCACCCCCCTCCCCCCAACTACCACTTGAGACAGCGAAATGATTAATCAAGAGCTGACCGTGCAAGGCTGAACCCATTTTGTACATGCAACAACTGAGCAACGCCGCGCCGTTCAGGGAGTCCGTGCCAGCCTGGGACCAACTCCCGTCTAGGTTCTCGCAGCCTACAGCAGTCTACAAGAGGGACGGAAATGGTGCTGCCGAGGAGAGCGAGGAATACAGACCCTGAGATAGAGCAAAAGCGACATAAGGAGACGCCGAAGGAAGTAGCCGAGAGCCGCCATCAGGGGTTGCGCTCGGTCCCGCATCACCCGCACACACGTCAGCAAACTAGTCGCCACCTACCGTGAGCACAACCACAGCCGTCAGGGCCGTCAGGAAGCCAAACCAATTGCACCGTCAGTTAACCTGCGCCTTTGTCGGGGCAACACAAGCCGTTGCCCAGCGAAGGATCACCGCGGAGTATCACCAGGACGATCAAGACGTTATACCACAAACAACAAAAACAAAAAAACACTCTAACCACACATCCAATGCAACATCATGAAAAACGGGGAGAGTATAGCAAGCATATTTGTGGACCAAGTAGCCTTTAGGTAAGCATCAATCACTGCAAGCGTTTCGAAGACAATACTATAACACCCCCCCCCCCCCATGTTTTTGTATAACCCACCAACTGACTCACTTTCTCATCCGTCTTTCTTAGTCTCACTCACTCCACATTTTCAGATCAACTAACATAAGCATCCATTCTCATTTTTTTGATAAGTGATGATGATGATGACGAAGGTGAAGGTGATATTTACTTTATCCAAAAAACGAGCATTAACTCATGCAACGAAATACAGTCTCTCTCTCTCTCTCTCTCTCTCTCTCTCTCTCTCTCTCTCTCTCTCTCTCTCTCTCTCTCTCTCTCTCTCTCTCTCACCTTTTTGCTTTCTTGACTCATCGCCACTCTTTGGCACTTTTTTTTCTTCTTCTTTTCCTTTAATAACTTATAATCTCTATTTCTCTCTTAATGATTTCGTTAACAAAAATAATGAAAACTAGTGAAGAGGAAAAAAGCCGAATGGAAGTAAAATAAAATAAGTAAAAAAAGGAAAATGAATTGAGTGGAAATGATACAAAGGCAATTACCAGAATTAAAGAAAAAAAAAAGTAAAAATGGAAATAGGACTGCCAGCAATTTCTACAAGAGCAACGATCATAGAAGTGCCTGGGGGAGGGGGAGGAGGAGCGAAGGGGGGAGAGGGGGGAAAGAGTTCGGGATGGGGGGGTGAGGGGAGGGGGCGAAGGGTTCCAGGGGAGGGAGGGGGGGGGGGTACGAACGGAAGGATGCCAGCAGGGTCGCGTGACTCCCTCCCCTAATCCCACAAGCCAGAACTCACGACAACACCTGTCAGAAGGCGTGTCTCATTTCCCCTTATCCAACTACGCTGGTATTCCCTCCCCTCCCCCCCCCTCTTCCCTACCCCTCTCCTTCCACCTCTTTCCCCTTCCCTTTCCCCCTCTACCTCTACCTCCACCTCCTCCCTTTCCCTTTCTTGCCTTCCCCCCACCCCCTCCCCTCTCCTTGCTTCCTCTTCCTTTTTTGCTCCCCCTCCCCTCCCCTCCCCCTTCCCCCCTCCGCTCTCTCCTCCCTGACCTCCACGCACATCCCCCCCTCCCCCCTCCCCTTCTTTTCCTCGTGCTTGATCCTACTCGAGCTTCTAGAAAGATGTGGGAGAAAGTGAGAGGGAGACAATGGGGTAGAGAGAAGGGGGGGGTAAGATGGGGAGGGAGGAGGGAGGGAGGGAAGGATAAGGATGATGAGGGAGGGGGAGGAAGAGGGACGGAGAGTGGGAGGGGGAGAGAGAGAGAGAGAGAGAGAGAGAGAGAGAGAGAGAGAAAGAGAGACGAATAGAGAGAGATGACGGGAAGGTAGAAATAAAACTGGCTTTCAAACCTAAAAATAAACCAACGGTAAGATACCCGCCCGAAAGAGACGGTTTTCTTAATTACAACTATAATAGCGATATAAAAAAGAGAAAACGACTCTGACAGAACCATTATGTTTATTCGTAAAAAAAAAAAAAAAAAAAATCCTGACGTCATTGGGTACGTGACAGCCTGTGGTTCGCGATTCATGCGAATTGCATGATTCGTCTGAGAGAATCAGTGAAAGGCATGACGGGAAGATAGATTTCGAGAGGGGGCGGGGGAAGGGAGGGAGGGGAGAGGGATGGGGAGGGAGAAAAGGGTGGAGAAGGAGGGAGTGATGGAGGGTGAAGTGGAAGATGGGGTGGAGGAGGGGGAGGAAGGGAGAAGAGAGAGAGAGGAGAGAGAGAGAGAGAGAGAGAGAGAGAGAGAGAGAGAGAGAGAGAGAGAGAGAGAGAGAGAGAGAGAGAGAGAAAGAGAGACGAATAGAGAGAGATGACGGGAAGGTAGAAATAAAACTGGCTTTCAAACCTAAAAATAAACCAACGGTAAGATACCCGCCCGAAAGAGACGGTTTTCTTAATTACAACTATAATAGCGATATAAAAAAGAGAAAACGACTCTGACAGAACCATTATGTTTATTCGTAAAAAAAAAAAAAAATCCTGACGTCATTGGGTACGTGACAGCCACGGGGAGGTGGAGGGGAGAGAGAGAGAGAGAGGAGAGAGAGCGAGAGAGAGAGAGAGGAAAGAGGAGACGAATAGAGGAGAGCTGACGGGAAGGTAGAACTAAAACTGACTTTCAAACCTAAAAATAAACCACGGTAAGATACCCGCCCGAAAGAGACGGTTTTCCTTAATTACAACTATAATAGCGATATAAAAAAGAGAAAACGACTCTGACAGAACCATTATGTTTATTCGTAAAAAAAAAAAAAAAAAAAAAATCTGACGTCATTGGGTACGTGACAGCCTGTGGTTCGCGATTCATGCGAATTGCATGACTCGTCTGAGAGAATCAGTGAAAGGCATGACGGGAAGATAGATTTCGAGAGGGGGCGGGGGAAGGGAGGGAGGGGGAGAGGGATGGGGAGGGAGAAAAGGGTGGAGAAGGAGGGAGTGATGGAGGGTGAAGTGGAAGATGGGGTGGAGGAGGGGGAGGAAGGGAGAAGAGAGAGAGAGGAAGGGAGGGAAGGAATGATTATATATAGAGAGATAGATGAAATGAACAAAATATAGACAATATATAGGGAGTAAGAGAACAAGAGAGAAGGGGGGGAGGTAGAGGTACAAAATGGTCTACAGGAGAGATGGGGGAGGGGGGGGAGTACAAAATGGTTTAGAAATACAATTTCCTGTCTTATCATCAACTATTTCTTGTTATATTGCCATGTTACAATTGATTGAGAGTACTGTTTACTAGCTTCTTCGTTTCCTGTATCATTTCCCTGTGGATTATCGGTTGCT